GAGAGAGAGGCGAGAGAGGGAGAGAGGGAAAGAAAGATTGTCTCCTAGAGTGGTAATGTCTGGCCACACCCGACCACTTTCTCCGCTGAAGCCAAAGTCATTCCGGCACCGCGTGTTACTACCCTTAATGACGCAATCTAGCGTGAAGCACGTAGTACGGTTTCGCTCTGAACGGTTCCGCGAGAGGTAGAAGCAAAAATTACAGGGCGCAAGAAAAAGTAATTAAGTCGGTGGTGGGCAGGTAGTAAATTATCCGATCGACCCTGACCGAATTTCGATAGAGAAGTGCGAAGTCCTCGTCCTTGTAAAAATTGTAATACTTTGCGGAAAATCGCGCTGAATTCTTCTCAGCATGTTATATTATATTTTATAAAATACGTAATGAATGTTTGCGTGTAATTTAAAATAATAGGATTAGGTATAAATAACTTATTTTCAAGTTACTTCAAGTCACAGAAAATATTTATCAATTTCTGAATAGGAGGAGAAGAAGAAGAACCTATGCTTTAAATAAGTTTATTCTCAGAACTAACAATAAGGTATATTTTTAATAAATATTTAAATCTTCGTCTCATCATAAAAATAATTATATATCGAAATATTATATTTGTGTTATAACGTACATAATATAAAAATTTTTTAGAAACTATCTTTTACCATGTATTTAATATATTTAATGCATATTATGCACACGACGAATTATGAATAAATGAATATGTTTTTTATGTAAATTAAATCTTCGTTGATAATTTATAGCATGATATTACTTCACGTGGCGATGATTTCCGCCTGAAAGAAACGGGCGACGCTGTTCCATTCGGTCGTGCGAAATTCCTTCCTACGCCTTAGGGGCATCCTAAAAGTTGCGGCTCTGGACCGCGGGCGTTTCTCCCTCCCCTTCTCTCTCTTTCTTTTTTTTTCTCTTCCGAATCAGAGAGTAGAGTGAAGTCCGCTTGCAACCGGTTTCGACTAACTAAGCTAAATAAAGGCATATACGTATACGCGCACACACACATACGGCAAGGGTAGGACGTCGTCGTGTCGATATAATTGCGCTCTCGAAAAACTTTGCTCGTGGATTTTTGTCATTACCATCGTCTATAAAACGTTCTCGAAGACCCAACAATGCTCGCGTTACTACGAAAATATTTGCCGAGCGCGGATGAAGAATATCTTGAAGGAAATTTCGATGGCGCGTCATTAATTCAACGTATACATTTATGAAACATAATGAAAAAAAATTTGAAATATTCCGAGGAAGAGAGGCTTGTTACTGCACAATCCTCGACTTCGGCTGCAAGACCGAGCAGCCTCCGAGCGGTAAGCAGCGTTGAGCAAGCGAGGAAAAGATCTACCGCTTAGACGTATCTTTCCTCACTCGTAATTTAATCCTTTGATTTTCCTTCCTCCCGGTTTGCGCAACCCGCACGTGTGCTACAAGGTTTGATAGGACGTCGATAAATCGAGGCTTCCATCGCGATTCATTTGAATATAAATTCGACTGTCTATGCGTTCTCCCTCGCTTTCTGATAGAGATCCTCTCACAGGATCAGAGGAGAACGCTAAGGATGCGCGCGCGCGAGAGAGAGAGAGAGAGAGAGAGAGAGAGAGAGAGAGAGAGAGAGAGAGAGAGAGAGAGAGAGAGAGAGAGAGAGAGAGAGAAGAAGAAGAAGAAGAAGAAGAAGAAGAAGAAGAAGAAGAACCGAAAAGAGACTCTTCTTTCTTTTCAGTTGCGCATCCACGGTGACCGCAAATCGACCGCGATGGTTGGCCAGGGTCTTTTTGATCTTGTTCGGTGGCCTCCCTTTTCTTTTCTCTCTTCTTCGCCCGATCCTCCGCCTTTCCATTCGTGCGGTAGTCTTAATGCCTTGCGACGTCCGCAACTCGGGCGGTCCTCTCGAACCGGCACGCCGATCGTACGAGCGCGAACACGTCCTGACGAAAATTCATTCGGACGATTTCGTACGCGCGACCGCATCCTCATTTGAAATTCCATCGACCGCCGACGAGAACGAGGGAGATCGCAGCGGAGATGCGGACGAATCCACGCAGCTGCGTCGCGTAACGATCTCGTAAAATTTCGAAACGATCATTTGCGGTCGGGTCGCCCTTGGACGAAATTTTTTCGCAAATTCGATCTGAAAGTATGTGCGAGGGAGGAGGGGGGGAGAGGGAGAGGGAGGGAATGGAAATACAAGTAAGCAGATTATGCATGATGAATCGAGAAAAATATTCGTCTTATTATTTAAATCAGAATCGTGTGGTCATACGGCCGTTAATTGATATATTGCCAAGTATGTAAGATGAGAAAGAAATATGAGGACGGAATCGTGCGCTACTGTAAAAGAGCAATGTACAAAAGTTCGAGATAAAAATGACCATTATAATTTTGCCGTATTAATCTCGACTGCGATTTATATCTCAACGCGAAGCATACACGGCTACTAGTCAAGTGTAATTTTTGCTGAAAATAAAACAACATGGTGGAACGATTTCGCATCCGTATGTAGGGAAAGGAAAAAAGAATATTGTTCAAAGCTGTTATTACAGTGCATTATTGCATTCTAATTGTCTAACAATAAATAAAGCACAAATTTAAAATGTATGTATTTAAATAACTAATATTCAGATTCCTTTTAAAGTTTCTTAAGAGAAAATTCTTTCACTTTTATTTTTATTATCACTTTACCTCTTTATTGCTTGGAACAAAAAGATTCATAGTTTTATTCTTCGTTTTGTTTAAGCTTAAAGTTTAAAGGACTCTTATTTCCTTTTTTTTTATAATAGTTTAATGTGATTAAGTGGAATTCTAAATATTTCCTGTGTCATTATTTTGATTAGATGTCAAGCGTTTAAATTAAATAGACCAATTCTTAAATTTACTCAACATTAATTTGTATTTAAATACACTTTGTATTTTACTTATTCTTAAATATTAATTTGGCAATGATATATATTGCAATATTAGTTTTAGCCATGTTCCTTTGTTTTTTTCCTACATGCAGCGTCGATGCATGAAGAGCGCGATGCGCGCATTATTCAAGAAACTTTTATTAAGCCGTTCAAGGTCGAAAGCTCACCGCGAAGTCGTATCCGGGGAAGTCGACGAGAGGAAGGCGTGTACCACGCGCACGAAAGGGCTTCTTATAACCATAAATATCATGCATAAATGCATATAGCGCGATGTTCCATAAATCCGACGTTGTCCGCCGACCGAAAAGCGAGGCAACAACAACGCGCGCGGAGGGTCTGTAATTAAACGCGCGTTGTCCCAATCTACAGTTTATTAGCTGATGTACGATCGCCCGATATACGCTTGTCTTTTCCAAGTGATAATCGAGACGTCCAAGCCTATCAAGAACAAGTCACGTGTTCCAAAAGCGAGAATCGAGAAAAAAAATTTTCCAAAAAAAACTGGACTGGTCTTGCACCGGGCTACATCCTCGACATTCTCGAGAGATTCGTCCTTAAGAACTCGACGGTTTATATTTGACACGATACGAACGTTTATTTCATTTAGATAGAATCTCGGGAAGGGGTGAAGAGAGGGCGAGAAGAGGAAAAAGGGAATAAAGGAGCGCGCACGGGTGAGCTCTCGCTGCCCGCGTGTCTACGCGCGCTCACGACGGGCTAACGATATTTATTATATGTCGGCGATGAATTATGGGCCGTTAAGTCCGCCGTCGTGACGGGACGGGACGGGACGGGACGGGACGGGACGGGACGGGACCGAGGCCCTTCAGGTCCGCGCGCGTAGCGAGCTGGCATCGCCACTGCGCCCGGCCGCCCGAAGGGAAAACGCACGGGCTCGTACGGCCGTACCGCACGAAATGAAATATTTATTCCATTACGAGACGCGCACAAGCCGTATTGTAATGCGCTTGAACCGTGCTGCGCTTTCGCGGTCCGCCGTCCATCGGCGGGTTGGGTTATCGCGATGCGTCCCGAAGGGACCGCGAAGAAGTTGCCTTGCCTGATTATCGTGCGGATTTCTATGAGGTGCATTCGCCACGACGCTCCCCCGTATCACGCATCCCGCTATTGTTAACAGATACTTGCACGACAGAAGTGAGAAGAGGTTGGCCAAATCGCTAATGTTGAATGACTGAGTTGAACTGATACTCGAGTTGAAAGAACTGTTTTCAAAAATTCGGCTAGATCTGAAAATAATTTTGTTGTACCTTCGTAAGATGTCTAAATTTGATAATATCAAATATTTTTGACATTTACAAAATCTCAGGGAATTAGAATGTTCTACGTATGTTATTCTGATGGTTCAATTAAATTATTTTTTGTATTTGGCAAAGTCATTCTTTTCATGTACAAAGCAGCAAAAGTATAAAAAAAAAAGAAAGATACAAATAAGATAAGACGTTGACAAAAAAGTTCTTGAGAAAAAAAAAGATTCTCGATAATGAGATATGTGAACGTAAAAAACCGTCGGGATTGTTACATGAACTTTGGACCAAGTCTGTTGTCATACATAAGAAGTTAACGTCTAACGATCGGGTTAATTCCGAGTCAAATCGATATGCCCTGAAACCCACGAGCGGTGAGCGTTCGTAGAATTCGCCGGCCGTGCCGTGGCTTCCGCGATGAGGGAAAACCTTCGGCATCTTCCCGCTTCCTCCTGGTCCGCTCTTACCCGTGGGAAAGCGCGCACGGACGACGAGACCGTTTAACAGTCCCCTGGTAACGGTAACGGCAGAGCCGCGGCGACGCGGGGAATCGCGAAAAATCGCGCGCTTCGCGGGCTTCGCGAATGAGCGAACGAGCGAACGAGCGAACGAGCGAGAGAGCGAGCGCGTACGGTTAATGATGAAGAAACGGGACGCGCGCGTTGATGTCCGCGTTGAGTCCCGTAGTCGATTTTCGTCGAAAACCGGCTCCGCGAGTCGTTCCTGATTGCTCCTCGCCACGCGGTTACGCCCGTCGAATTGCGAGAGGCATAATCCGCCTCGCTGCGCGTCAAACCGCGGCGTTTACTGTTACGACGGGATCCGCGGGAAATATAGCGATTACACGTCCAACTGGCGTTTCCCGGATACCTGCCTTGCTCGCCGGCGAGCGTAATCTATGAGGGATTCCCGAAATTAATGACACCCGCGAGTCGCCGTACGATGCGATTTTTTCCTACAGCGTAATGAGTTACGCGAATGCAACGAACTCGCCCCGGCGTCGGGATAAGTTAATTAAAAGTCAAATGTTAATTTAAATGAATTAATCATGATTAGGAATTCTTCCGGAATTCTTGTCTCTTCGTCGACGCGGTCGTTAACCACATCGCATCGTGAGTGGCGTGTCTAAAAATTTCTATACGGGAATTGATTGACGTTCAATACTGGCTTCTCGCTGGGATCAATCGGAATTGATATCCCGTTCACGCGTCGCTTGATATTTTTGTAATCGACCAAGTGGCAGAGTAGCGGTCGCATTGGAAATCTATGATCTTGAGTGTATCAATATGCAACGTAAAGCTCCCACCTCTAATCCGGACAACACGTCAGCTGGGTGACATTCCGGATCTATTAGCCCATGACGCACCATGATTAATTCACAGTAAACGATAAACAGAAACGAGTTTCCGTGGAACGCGATAGAAACGTAAGAATCCGTGGAAGAATTCAGTCGACATCATGGAGAGCCTGAGCGAAGGTGACAGAGCTGTCTTGAATACGATCTTCGATCCGCTACAGCCGCTCGGGCCGTCTGACTTTGCAGGCCTTCCGGTTTTCCAAGAAACTGGTACGTGATATTAACGACACTATATATAGTAATTATATTAGTTATATATAGTATATATATATAGTATATATAGTATTACTATATATATATATATAGTAGTTACTATAGTAGTTAATATAATTACTATATATAGTAATTATATTAGTATATTTATAGACAAATATTAAATATAGTAATTATTACGCAGAAGAACAGTTTCGCTGAAGTATCCAAAAATTTAGCCAAATATAGGTCCGAAAATAATCTTGCTTATCAAATTATTATGTAGAAGTTAGAAATTGGTTGCTAGAATATCAAAAATGTTTGCAGTATTATTATCATGCTTAAGCATCTTATATAATAATTCTGAGAGTCTAATAAAATTATTTTCAAATCCGCATTTGGCTGCATATTTAAATATTTAAAAAAAAAACATTTTTTCCATGTAAAATCTGTGTGCTATTGTACCTGCTTTAAAATAAAATTTCTAAAATAATGCATTTTCTCCATGTAACAAGAATATGATAGATAATAATAAATTTAATATTAATTTATATGTTTATCACTGATCGAAAAATACATATCAAAGTTTCTTTAAATTTTAAGTATAATGATTTAAATCTAAGAATAATAATATGGATGATAATTCTTTGTAATTCAACTTGTAACATCACTGGGCAGGTGATTTAAAGTCAAGATTGTCATTCAATCTTAATGACGATGTAGTCGAGACACTTGTTGCACTCGTTGGACACGATTCAAACCGCAGACTCCTCAAGTTGCTCGAAAAATCCGCGGACGCTTAAAGCCCGTGGGTAACCACATTCGTCTGGCACAAAGTGTGTTCCAGCTCGAGTCACTCTCACGCGAAACATTCAGATCATGAATATGTAAAGAACTACGATGCAATAACAGATAGATTTTCTTGTTGTTGTATAACTTTCAAGGCTGCGCTTTGTAGAGTATAAAATTATATGAAAAATTTTACAATGTCACCCAACTTCTTGTGAAGTATGCGAGCACATTGAGCATACACATTCGTAATAATTATATATTTGCATATTTGATACTTTTTCTTAAAAATAATGTTTTCTTATAAATAATTATGTGTTTTCTTTATACCAATCACTTTAGCTCATATGCTATTTAAAAGAAAATAAATAGATATACATATAAATGCTGCTGTCCAATCATTTTAAACGTGTGCTATTCTAAATCAGAGAAGCTTCAATGCTTCTCTTAAAAATGATTTGATCAAATTTGATTGTGATTTTGAAGGGAAAATAAAATGCATTTGATGCCTTTCTATTACCGCAAAAGTAAGAACGCAGAGCAAATGTGCAAAAAAGCAAACCGCAAAAAAATGCTAACTGCATTTCTAGTCACGATTTGTTGTTAAAGCATAACGCTCTAATTTTAAAACGAATGGCAACAGGCAAAAAAAAGTTGATCGTTTAAGACTAGAATGAAAAAGATCTTGAGATTAGTCATTGTTAATGACTTTGAAATTAACGTTTATGATTGACGAAATTGAAAAAGTATTATATACTATGAACTATTCTTACTAAATCAAATAATTTAATTTAAATAAATACTATGTTTAATTAGAGAAAATAAAGGCGATAATTAACAAAATCATTTAGAATTGTTTAAGAATAAGAGAATCGTGTTTCATAAGAACAATGCACATCACTCTGGGAAAAATTGTTCGAGATTTCTACCTCTTATCTTCTATATTCATACGACCTTATATTTTTAGATTACACTTATTGCAATCTCTATAAAATTCTTTTAATAGCAAAAACTAGATTTTTTTGGAAGTAATTATAAAATTCACTTTTCCTTCATTTAAAAACTTAGGAAATTACAAAAATAGGTCAGCCTCAAAAAAACAAAAAAAAAATATATAAAATTTTTTTTTACCATGCCTTGAATCTTAAACTTTGCTTGAAAAACGAAATAAATATATATTTTGATACAATATTTATTTTTTCGATTATTAATATAATTTCTGTTGGACTAAAGTATAAAATATATTCATAATTTATTAATTTTTTTAATAACTCTTTCCCTTAAAACTTGAATACACGGAATAACTAAAAAAAATTATATGTAAGAAAAATTATAAAATTTTAGTTAAAAAAATTGCTATTCACATTAATATTTTATTAAAAATTTATTATATAAAATGTTTCTGGCGTTCCCTTTTTGAAATTTTTATTTAAAACCTATTTTTTTTCTAAAGCGAAAAATAATTGAAATATTTGGGAGTATGTAATTATAAAATAAAATTTTTTGTATATATGTGTGTGTGCGCGCGCGCGCGCGCGTGTGTGTATGTGTGTATGTACATATATGCATGTCCCAATATACGCATAAGACGCGATTCTCTGTACCAAAAAAGAAACAATTTTTCTAATGAAATTGCATCCTATATATTCAAGCTTAACACGTAATATACATATGTTTTTTATGTATATTTTGTTAAAAGAGATAACGAATGCCTTCGAAGAAGATCACTTAGAACAAGATGTACTGGACATCGTGAAAAAGGCAATAGTTTGCGCGGAAGCAAAAAATTTCGATGAATCGTTCCGGTTTTTCGACGAAGCTTTGAAGCAGGCACCTAAATCGCCATCAATCTTAAATGACAGAGCGCAAGCGTTACGTTTGGCGAATCGAAATGAAGGTATTTTTATATATATCGAAAACGAGTTTCCACATAAAAGTTTCATAGAAGAGAATTATACAATTTAATTATCGTAATTATTATTCAGAGGCTTTGAAGGATCTACATCTGGCAGTGGAACTAAGCGAAGGAAAAGGAAGGACAGGCGTCCAGGCGCTCTGTCAACGCGGAGCCCTTTATCGGTGGATGGAACAGGACGACAAAGCCAGGGAAGACTTCACCAGTGCGGCCAAAGCTGGCTCTAGCTTCGCTAAATCGCAACTGGTCGCTCTGAATCCTTACGCGGCTATGTGCAATGCGATGCTGCACAAGATGACATTCAGAACCAATCATCCTTAATTTAATGGGGTTGCGTCACGAGACAATAATCACTTAACAGATATATATATATATATATAACGCTCTATTTTATTTTTATTTCCATATAGATAAATCCATGAACGGATCCACGAGACCTACAATTCCTGATAATGATAGTAAAAGTGATAATATAATAATAATATAACAATAATTATTGGAAATTTCGCATAAAAATATAAATTATCTGTATTAAAACCGGAATATATATTCATCTGCAAACTCGGATTTAATTTTTGCTAAAAAGGAACTCGCGCTAAATCGCCAAATAACGAAGAAAACGTCAAGTTCTGTACCCGTAAAGATTCCTTCTCTTCCAGCTAAACTAGTCCTCCCCAGACGCGAAGATTTATATCTAACGGAGAGAACTCGGTGCGTATTAATTAACTACATCATCGGTAGACATTGATCGTATTGATAGATTGAAGACTTGGAACAGTATCCACAATTTATTCAAACGGAAACTGATAGCGAAATTACGCCTAATACGATTCCTTCATGTTACACACATATGTTTGTATAGATATCTATGTGTATATATAGAATAAAATATGCCTTATATCACGCTTATGCTTTTTTAGAGACAATACTTTACATTCACGCCAGTTTACGGAAAATTCTCTCCATGTAAAAGTCACAAGCAATTTTCCCACTCGTTCGTGATTGTATTCTTAAATGCAACAACTGTGGAGAATCTGCTACGATTGATTTCTCAGATTCGCGCTTTGAATTTAACGCTCGGATTTAACACATCGCAAGCGTATATCAGTTTTAGATGATTAATGCGACAATTAATACAGTTGTTTGTCCCAGCAAACAACTGCAGCTGAAGCTATCTACTGCCCGGTTTCTCTAAACCATAACGAAATCTCTACTCGTATTAGATTTTTCGCTTTCCGAACCTTCCTCACTGCCATCCTCTCCTTCTGCTGAATCGGACGAAGCTTTCCTTTCTTCACTAGGTAAAGATAATTCCTCGTTAGATGCTTCCTTCGTTACAGGTTGCTCTTCCCTGTTAAAATAAAATCAGAAATTAATGTTTGAAAAATAGATATTATATTTTGTATCTTATTAAATATTAATATCTTACGATTGAACTAATGGCGCATCCTCGGAATCAGAATCTTTCTCTTTCCTTCTTTTCTTTTTGCTGATCTTCTTATCACTGTCTGATGTGGGGCCATAATATTCATACTACAAAAATATTTTTGCATCGTAAATATCAATGTTTGTCATTATAATATATCATTATAATATACCTGATAAAATAACAGACTAAACTAACTTGATATAATGGCCAGAACGATGCGAAGAAGCCAACATCGGCTGTCAAGTTAGGTAGCAGCCATAAATGACATCTACCCAACGTAGGTACCCACAGAAGACAAAATACGATCATTCTAATAATAGCCAGCGCTAATATGAATACAAGAAATCCTGCGGCGGCAACGCTAAGATAGTAAACTCCATGACGAATGGTTAAGGGCCACAGTGGGAAGAGACAGACTCCAATTGCACCCAAGACTACAAGTGTACCGAAGAACCAATAGTATACAGGAATCGGTTCATATATCCATACATATGCATCATTACAATCCACAAAGTACTGTTCCATGTGCATTTCTAGTCTTACCTGGAAGCAAAAGTATTTCTCATTCACAAACGAGAAGAAAAAAGAAATTATTTTATCACAAATTTATTTTTAATAACAAATAAACTTACTTTTGGTTTTTTTTATGCTCCTTCCGTTCGTCTGCCTTCTCTTCGCCTTTCTCATCTTTCGTTACAGCTACATCTTTGCCTTCCTTGGAAGCTTCTTCCTTATCCAAGGTTTTTTTATCTTCTTTCGTATCCTTAATTTTTTCTTAATACCTCGCATTTTATTAAGTTCCTCTTCCGATATCACCACCTTTTTGGCTCTGTGAAAAAACTTATGCCTGAGCATCAGGTCCAGGAACTGCGAGACCTGCTCACGGTTTTCGAACACCGTGCTCCAGGGTGAGTTTTCCAATAGAGCATCGATCGCACGTGACCCAGTAAAGTATTCGACATTATGTGTCCTATCGAACTTGGTCTTCTTCGACGGTACATTATTACGAATCCACTTGGCTACCGCATATTCCTCCTTAGACGGTTTATCTTGAGCGATCTTAGTATCCAGACTGGCTACTTCCTGTTACAACAGCGACAAAGATATTCATTAAACAATCTACCCGAGAAAAACGTATATAGGGGAGGAAAAAATCGCACATGCGAATTCAATTGACGCAAAGGATAACGCGAGATGTGATTCCCGATCTCATCTCGGTGCAGGAGAATCTTAGGAAGCATCTCGGGGTCTCTGTCTACGTCATTCTCAGAGCGGCGCTTATCGGCGCTGACACCTTTCGCAGATCGACGAATCACGGTCGTGACCGTCGAAGCTCGAGTTGCATCACGTGTTCAGCGACGAGCATACGCTCGTGACCGACGTCTCGCACGGGAATCATCGCGATCCTCGCCCATATGCGATGCTTACATCTTTGCGCTTCCTGTTTTTCCTGCGCTCCGCCATGCTGTAAATCCCGTGTCACGCTTGCGCGCACAGATCCGCTGCTCACGCTGCCGGCCGCTGAAGCTGCTGCGAACTGGCATATGCAAACACCGCGGATGCGCACCCTAAGCAAGCACCGTGGCGACCAGTGGTGGCACGCGGAAACAAATATCTCGAACCTCAACCCTGTCCGGTCGACGTTTTTACCTCGCCTCTTACTCCACCTTCTTCACCATCGCCGTCACCACCACCGCCTCCGAGATATTTCTCTCTTTTCGGACACGGGACACCACCTGGTGTTTATTCCGTTTCACAAACTGGAAATAAGCAGCGCCAGTCGAAAAGTTCGGTGGTACATCTGGGAAGTTTCTAGAAAGATTATTATCGGCCAACGAAAGTTCTATGGACCATGGAGGAGGATAACTAGGGACCGATGACATTTGTCGATTGCTTTACAATGGCATGTCTCTTCCGGATCGTTGTATAGAACGAACGTGTTCCGTTTTAAATAATTTTTGTATTGCATCATCACACATTTCCGTCTTTATTTTTTAATTTTGATTTTTTTGTTTAATCAATTTTCGATTTTGTACTACGCCTATTTTGCAGCAATCTGTTTTGATCTAGTTGAGATCAGATAAAAAAAAGAAGAAAAAAAGAATGACTACGCAATTGAATCATAATTTATAGATCTATGTATGTAACTCAAATAGAAAAGGATAAGGAAATTATATTTACAGAAAAATAATACATGCATTAAAGAAAAAGAAAACAAAAATTAAAAATGCTAATATATGTTAGAATATTAATTTACATGTAATAACAAAGAACTCTGTAATTGAGTAAGGATGTCTTTTGAAAAACAAATTATAATTATGGTTATTCCAACTCACCTTACATATCAAAATTGCATTTTTTCCGTAATCCAAGTTGCGTAAATAATCAAATTCATGTAAAAATTCTAAATAAAAATTGGATATTATTGTGTTGTAAATATATATACATTTACAAAACGTATACAATTTAATTAATGATTCATTTATCAGCACAATGCATCGTTGTAAAATTTTTAATTATATTATTTTTAATCTAATGTTTTGTTCATGCATTAAACAATAAAAAATGTATTATTTTAACAAAATAATACAATTATCTAAATTAATTATTGTTTTAGAAAAAGATAGAATAAATTAAATTAAAATTAAAGTTGATCTATGTTGATAAAAATAAACACGAGTTTATCGAATTTATCGTAGTAAAACACAGTGAATTTAGAAAACATCTAAGAGCGCAATTATAGACGAGTTTCTTTCATCGATTGATTAATCACGTAATCCGCAAATGCTGCTTTTATAGAGCAAAGTTGCATTTGCGATTTATTAATCGATGAGTTAAAAAACTCGTCTTATATCTGCATTTTAACTGGAACTGGTTGGAATGTATTCCGTGACTATTTAGTAATCTTCAATACCTGTAGGTGACGCTGCGCGCGCGTCACTTTCGTTTGCCGTCTCTGTCGTCTACGTAATGCGCGCGTGAAGAGGATCGGGATCGGGCTTTTGTTTGGTCAGTGCTGCTGCCGCTGGCGTATTTCGAGTGTGTGTGTGTGTTGTGCCCGAGCGCGCGTGGTCACGTTTCGGAGTAAACAAAAGTGCGTATATTCGCAAAAGTGCGTCACCGGGGTTTTATGTACGGCGCGAACATGCGCGAACGCGAGGAGTTCTCGAGGTGTTTTCTACCGGGCCAGCCGGCCCAGGTCCCGCTGCAGCTGCCGCCACCACCGCCACAGGCCCCGGGCCTGGACGCCCTGCATGGACTCTGCAAGCAGATTTATCCGGACCAGAGCAACCCATTGACTGTCACGGCAATTGTCAAGTATTGGTAAGCACCTGGCGCATAGCGGCAATGTCAACGGTGATCTCTCTCTAGAAAAATATCGGAAGACTCTTAGGATATTGAGGACACAGGTATTCCATAGGAAAGACACACAGGTGGCTTGAAGATCTGTGGCGACAACATCCTAAGGCAACGCTCGATTCATATTTCTTCCGCTATAATTAATTTTGATCTTCGATTTAAATTTACTTTTTATCTTCTTCCAATTCTTCTAGAATTGAAAGAAAAGATAAAGTTATGTTCAACTGAGATTGCAGTTTAATCTTTCTTTTGGTAGAAAGAATAATAATAATTTATTTTTGCACACAAGCGTCACGCCTGTTTAAAACCTTCAATGATTATTTCATTAATTGAATTCATTAATCTTGTCTTGTCTGATAAATGTACGTCAATTCTCTGTTGTTGTTTTCTGATGCGGAATGGCTTTGCATTCATTTTAAATGGTTACTTTCAGTTTTCTTATCGAATTGATGCATTGAAGTCACTGTGAAACAGTGTGTTAGATATGCATTTTTAAAGCACTGTCAGAGTGTCTCGATTTTTCCATTCCTCCCTCGCGAGAAAAGACGATTACGACTATATTTAGCCTCCCCTTTTACGTACGCAAAACCGGATATCCTGTCAGCTGACTCGAGTTTTCTTTAGGTTAGGTGGACCCGATCCCCTCGACTACATCAGCATGTATGCCAATCCGGGTTCTCTCGAGTATGGAGTACCACCGCATTGGCATTACATCAGGTAAGAATGTTTACATTGATCTCGTATAACGCAAATGTTCTAAAAATGTCCTAGAAATATATTCGAATATCTCTAGAACGTTTCTAGGATGTCTGATAAGTATTTCTGCTCTATGTCAAATTTTACAGAATGTCCTAGATGCACATAATTTGTGAATTTAAAGAGTTGAATTTAAAGAGTTAATGCGCTTTATTATTCTGATTTTAATTAAATGTTTAAGAAACAAGCAGTTAAATTGATCATAGAAGATTTTTATATGTATATTGCCTTCGGTTTTTCTCAGAGTTACAAAAAAATCATTTTATTATAAAAATACAAATAAAATATAAAAGTTCAAAAAAAATATATATATAAGTAAAACAAAACTGACAACAAAAACCTACTCCGTAATCATAGAAGATCCAGATTGCTTTTCACCCTGAAGATTGAACTGTGATGTGTTCACGAAATGGGTTTGGCTTTAACATTTTATGATAACTTACGAGAAATTTTAATTTTTTTCTTTTTTCCCGAACATGAAATTATTTAAGACATAGTCGTATTAAATAGAGAATCTATAACTTAAGGCTCGCGTGTTCATCAAGTGGAATGCGAGTTTTGGCAGATGCACGATGTGTAGGCGCTACTGCTGCATTCGAACGTTTCATTGGAATCTGTGCGGAGAATGACGAATGACCTTCCGCCAAAGGGTGGCGGGTTCCTTTCCCCTTTTTCCTCACGTCGGCGGCCCTTGGCTCCTTCGATTTCAGACAGCTGTCCCAATACCCGCGCGCGCTTCTCTATATATAGAGAGCATGTAGGGTGAACGAGGAACAAAGTCGTTTAATGCGCGGGGAGTCGGAAATAGAAGCGCCAGACTTCCCCTTTTTCGTCTGCACCGGCTAATTATACTTCGTCATTGACGGAAAGTTTACGTACTTTTTTGTGAGGTATCGCTGTGAAAGAGATTTTTTTCTCTTTTTCTCTCGTAATATTTTTCTAAAGTTCTCTTGAGTCGCTATTGAGTCGCTTGATCGCTATTTAATTTTATCTTTGTTCCTCCCCCGTATGCAGAAATTATCTTTAAGAAGAAAGATATTTGTGAAAAGATAAGGGAAATATGATATACAGATGTTCTACATCAGGAATCTTTATATTCCGTTCGTTTGAATGCAGCTTAGGATTGTCCGATTTACATGGTGATGGCCGATTACATCCTAAGCCTGGTCCGGGTCGTCCCAGCGGATTCGGATTCGAGTTGACCTTCCGTCTCGCCCGTGAAAGGGGCGAGACAACGCCGCCCACGTGGCCGGCAAACGTGATGCAGCAATTGGCCAAATATGTTTTCAATTCCGGGAACACGCTGATGCCGGGCGATCACGTCTCTTGGCACGCTCCGCTGGATGGTGGAAACGGTTGTATTACCCAGATCCTAATGGGACAAGACCCGCAGCTTCCAGCATCAATCTCTACGCCCCATGGCGATGTATGTATAAAAAGCTTGAAAAGACTTCCAGTCTATCTAAAATAGGATTCCCTTTTTGAAATACAGAACTCGTAACTTAGCGATTGTTAGTTCTAAATCAAATAAGAGATAAATATGCATGTGACTTTAAGTTGTCATCTTTCTCCTTTATTATTAAAAACAGGTCTCGTTCGTTCAAATCGTCGGCGTTACTTCCGAAGAATTACAGGCAGCTCAACACTGGAACGGTTTGGGTGTGGTTAACTTGCTGAGAAGCGCCAGGGGTTGCGGTCCGTGGTTAGTCACAGACATGAGAAGAATGCGTTCCGCTATGGAAGACAATCCCTCTATAGCGCAAAAAATACAGTGCGGCATCGAGAGAGATGGATCGAATACGAGCGGTGTGTCCGCTAAATGTTGGTGAGTAATGGCAACGGACTGATAGAATCCCGGGAAACAAATTGAATCCCGATTGGATTCAAATTTAAGATCAATGTTTTTACAGGTGGGTGCAAATAACGAATGATAAAAGCGCGGAGAGATACAGAGAGAGAAGAAATGATTCCGATGAAGAAGATGTAAAACCGATTGTGAAAACGGAGAGACTGTCTCCGTGTGAGCAACAGGACGCCAATGTCTCTGATGAAAATAATATTAGAGTTCTGTCCGGATTACATTTGACGTTCAATCTTGAGGCTGGTTCGTTATTACCATTGGCGATAAAGTAAGACATGACAAAAATGGAGTTTGCACAACAGCATCACGGCGACGTCCGATGAATAATGCAATATGACGTTACAGAGGTCGCGTGATGCACGGGAGGCATTTCACATTCAAATCCATACTGTCTCATTCGGCTGTCACGATAGTCGCGCCGTCCGTTACAGGCACCTTCGTGTCCAAGGAAAAGCCATACGTTGTTCAAGGACCGTGGCTGCAAGTACTACTCTCGGAAGAATTGTCTGAGAAAATGGCTGAAGAGTTCCAAGTTCTAAATACGGACAAGGTAAGGATGAACGATATCCGTCTGCAATGAAACGATAACATGTGACGTATTTAGAAAGTTTGTTTACGTTCAACTATTTCAGATGATCTGCAATCTTATATATGTCTTAATATATCTTGTTACAGATCCAATTGCCAAAGACGTTTTCTTGGCCAGAGCATAATTTAGCCATTACCATTATCAACGATTGAAAATATTCGACAGTGCAATTCATGAAGATCATTCTCTTCATGCTCGTTTCGTATATATTTAAGTTAAAGATAAAAAACGAAAGTATTATCAAGCCTTCGTAGGTCGAATCTTTTTATTTATAACTACGACGTTTCCCATGACTTTTTAGCATAAAGTTTTATAATTTATAAATGTTATCGTACGCGTTTAAGAAATTTGAATCGCATTCATCAATGTGCGAAAGCAGAGATTTGCACACGTTCCCAGATGCAAATTTTAAAGAACAGAGATGTATTTTTCTATATACGGATGTTCCAATGTCTCTCTTTTACAAATTGATGCTATGTACATGAAAAATTTCTGCAACACTCGTCATATTGTTTTAATTGACAATAGTGTTATTGTTTCTACCAAAACGATATGTGTTGCAAATTTTTTTGTGTGCGTATTTTTACTATGTACATAATACAATATAACTTATATGCTATTTTATAATAAAATTTGATATGTGCCTTATACATTGTTATATATAATAAAAACGTTTATGTAAATATACTTTATAGAGATATTTGTACACGAATCTTATATAATTATCTCAATTATCTTTTTGTGACACTAATCAATATCGTCTATTATTTCGTTGCTTTAGCTTTCGGCGCGACTTCCTCTTGGAGGGACACGTATCCTGGCCGTGACTCCTCACTGTCGAATTGTTATTATTACCGCTCTGCGTCACGCGTTGTCCAAACATATTCAACAACTTCATGTGGGGATTCTGAAGTATCAACATGACATTGAAATTAATACGCACGTTTCAACGCGTCGGATGCGAATAGTTGTCGCTTTAACGCATGAGAATAAAAAATTGTGATACGAAATTTGACAATTGAAATCTATCGAATTGCTACTTGTCATGTATATGATAATCGCATCGAAGAATCTACTTTCCCAAGAAATAATCTCGTCACTAGGTGAGTTTTGCATTTATAATATAAACAATTAACGAAGCCGTTAAACATCTGTTTAAAGTTTTAACGTGACGTCTCTGTCGGGTCAAAAACCAGATAATACACCATATGGACCACGCGTGGATCTCTAAATCGTGATCAATCGCGAGAGTAATCTACATAGTAGTTTACCTGGTTTTTGCACCGCAGTCTTCCATGTCACGCGGCAGCAATATTCCTCGAGAGACACGCGCATAAATAGTTTAAAGTTTCTGCACTTCGTCGTATGGACAATTCTAAAAGGTGGGGTATCACATTTGCAAGCAATCGCACAATAATAAGAATATTAAGCAATATTAATATTAAATAATAGAATGGGACATATCCGCGCGATATTTTCCACTTAATAAGAAAATTTGAAAATTGTCATAAATTTGTTGTATAAAAATGACTCAGATTGTTAAAAAATGTTTAAAAAAGCAGGATGTCCCATTTTGATTCCAATTGATTGAGCCAATTTAGTATATATGATTATTATCTAAAAAAAAGAAAGTAAGGAAATTCTCTAAAAAAATGTAGAAATGTATGTAAGATTTAAATATCTCGGATATATAAATTTAGCAATATATTTTTATATATTTTCTATAGAATTCAAGGTTGATTGGTAAACGCGATTGTTTACCAATTGTTTACCACGTGAATCTTAATCTTTTAAATTATCGGGATCGAGTCGTCATTCGTTATTGACACTAACGATTATTACGAAATATGCTGTATATACCTTCTTGAGGAGATCCATAAACATTTTGACGGCTCCGAAGCATAAGACAACGACGATGCAAGCGGAGGCAAAGTCTTCGACGTCGTCACAACTAATACTGTTAATGACATTAACGATTCCTCGAAAAACATTGGCGAACGTTTGCATCGCACCGATACATAAATCCCTGAAGAACCAGATCACCTAAAAGTTATTTGAAGTAATTGTTTGGTATATTTTCCTTTTGAAAAAGATATACCTATTACATAAATATTATATTTTTCTTATTATATTCCGTTTATAATTTTAACTGAAATCTGAAATTTAAATTTGGTATATTTCTCTTTTGAAAAACTTTCGAAATAGTTTATATAGAAAGATTTTTAATTGAATTTTAATTGAAAATCTTTGTGTTCTCTTCGATCTTTATTTCACATCGACACATAATCTCTTATTTGCAATATATATTTGAAGCATAATTACTGTACGAGCAGATTGTCACCTGAAATATTAATTTCATCGTCACGAATATTAGTTCGATTAACCTCGCTAAGCAATCAACTATGATAATTAGGATGAGCGCGATGGTCTCCCAGAGCCAACAGGCGACACGCCAAAAGGAGTTCACGAATTGATCGGAGACCCTGGATATTTGGTTTTTCATGATCGGTCATTGCTATCAAAATTTATGGTACGCTTTAAAAATTTCACAAATCGAGACTAAAATCAGGTTAATTTGAGATGAAAGAGAGAAGTAAGTCATTAGGTCCGTTAATTTGAACGAAACAAAAACTAATAGAATCTTGTATTGTCTGAAATTGCTCGCATATTTCTTACGAGGAAGAGGGCAAGGAAGGCATCCATTTAACAATTTCAAGATATGCTTTATTGATATGAAGCTGTAATTATAATCAATGTATCGTACATATAGCCGGTGATAGCCAGAGTACATGGCGCGTGGATTGTTGCTTGACGATAATGAGACTATAGCTTATTAATCATAATCTGGCAGTATATTCATTATGTGGTTTGCTTGACGCATCGTAAGATTTAACGAGAAGCTCATCACCGTTAGTATCCACTACAACATTCATTCATGTGTTGTGATTCCCTCAGATTCGCCGTTCGTCTCCTTCTGGATCACGCGAGTCCCACGAGGATCGGCAATAGGAGGACGATCAGCGGTGCGAGATTTCTCGACGACGCGTTACACGCGTCCGCATCGCTGCAGGATTGCACACATCCGCGCACATACCTTCGTTGAACGTTTGAAAATAATAAATTTTTATTTCCGGCATTTTTCTTCAGTTTTCAATTTGCATTTATTTGGCTTACTTGTCGTCGAAGTAGAAACCACCGCAGTGTGACATTCTAATAATCTCGGAATCCGTTGTCAGAGTTCCGCTATCCAATGCGCAGCTCCTCACCATCAGAGACACACCGGACTCATCTGACATAGTCGTCGGATCGATTAATGTTTTGTCTTTTTGTTTATTCTCTTTTGACGCGAGATTCTCACGATCGATTTTAATAAATTACGTAATAAACGAGAAGATACTGAAAGGATTAATAAAATAGCGTGTTGTATCCTAGTAATTTGTTAGCTTACCGTATACGCCGGCGATTTTGAGACAAGCGGTTGCCGGGAAGAGACCATCCCGGCCTTTTCGACCCCCCAGGCAGGGCGACTCTAAGAAAGCGCGGCTCCCATTGTTGTGAAATGGGTCATCGCAGGGTTTGTTATCGCCATCGATCGAGACACACTTGAAACAGTCGATGGCCCACCCTGCGGAACAATCAAGTTGCACTCATGGTTGAACAGGAAACGGAAGGAGAAAAGAGTGCAACAAATAAAATTTAGCGGCCTGACATTTTTCGCGTTTGAGGAATATTTCCTTTGATTTCGGACGACTTGTTCTAGATATAAAATTTCATTTGTCAGGAGCGAACGCTAAGGGCTTTTTGTCGTTTGCAAGAGAAGAAATCTCGGCGATCGACAAAGCGATCGCGAAGCTCGAATAGTACCAAAGCGAGCTATTTTTATTTTTAAAACAGCATAAACTATACATCACGCGCTGAACGGCTTGTCCTCGAAAGCAATGTGTGCAATCCGATTATCGATTTTGTTCGTGCAAGATTCACAGATAACTCGTTCGCACTCTCCTCCTTTGGATCTCTTCGTTCGCTCGATCGGGATCAATTACGCGATCTTGCGCAACTACTACCGCGAAATAGCGATTATTTCGGTACTTCCTAATCGTCTACCGACCTCTTTGGAAGAAGGCGAGGACGGTGAGCGCGAGGCAAACGATCCGGGGATACCCTACGTTCATGCTTCGGCGATCCGAAGGTGCTCGTTCCCGATGGAATCGCACTCTCGTCGACGTCAGCTTCTACATCCCGGGTGATACCGAGCGGATTCCACGCCGGTGATCATCTCAGTCGCGGAACCGACGTTCTCCAATCGTTCTCCGCCGATAATCCAACGTCGTCGCGTACGTCGTCACAGAGTAGAATCCACAGGACGCCGAGTGACTGGCCGGGCGGTTCGCCCGATCACACCCCGTCGACGTTATTAACGTACGCAGTGTTTTGATGGCCGGTTGCCAAGGCGATTCACAGCTCGTCGTCGTATAGACCTCGATCACGCCTTCGTCGAAGATTTAAAAGTCTTGACGGACTCGATGGACTTTGATTGAATTACCGTCATCGTCGGCAACCGACGGCGAGGATCAATAGGTCCTCATTCTTGAACGAACAACCGTGCGAGAACATGCCGTGAAATCGGGCTCGACCTGGTCTTTATACGCCATCCTAAACATTCCTCCGATGCGGTCCCACCCTGGAACACGCACGTGTCACACGCGAATAGTGGGTGCAGTTAAGATTTACGATGGATGACAGTGCGAAAAAATATCGACAAATATAAATTCGTGATCTCATAATTTATTTCGTTATTTTTTTATGTTTGCCTACGATGTGCTAATCATCTTCTTATATACTTTCAATAATCTAGGAAAGATTTAAACGTATAAGCGATCTGTTTTCATTTTTTTTTTTAGCAAGATTAGTAAGGATTTATAAAATAAAATCAAAGAGAAGACTGCAGGAAATTTTTTAAGATTTTTATTTATATTAAACAGTGATATTAATCAAATCTATGATATGATATTTATATCTGTAAATAGTAAATACATTATGCACAATAATTAAAGTCATTCTTTTAAAAAATTTTATATAAATTTAATCTAGCAAATTTAATCTACTTACTTAAAAATAAATTAAATATTTATTTCACATATAAATATCTATTCTGAAAGAAACATTTATAGTAAAAAATATCTGTGACAAATGTGCGTTAGATAAATAATTGAAGTTGTAATATCATATAATACAAGATAATTTTCAAATTCAATTCTGAACAATCTAATTAGAATTATTATTATAATTGTTATATTATAATTATAATATAACATTTTATTAATTTTATTAATCAAAAATATATAAATTTTGATGAATTTTATTGAGTAATTCAAATTACAAAAATATTTTTGACTATTTTAAATTAAACAATATTATGCTTAAAACTTTTATTTCAATATAATTAAAAGAATATCGTAAAAAAGTAAATTCTGCAAGACAGAGGTTGAAGTAACACCAGTAATAATTGTATATCTCAATATACTTTTATTTTTATAAAATTATGATGCTAAATATTTTTAATTATAGCGATATTGAACATCAATAAATAGTTACATATATTGAATTTTTATATCCTTATACATAATTTTCGGGGATATAAGTATTATATTATTGAATGTCAGTTTTATTATTGTAATTAATTATAAAATTCCCAATTTATGCATTTTGTTCTTTTAATTTCTTTTTTATATAAAATGTATATTAAATATATTCTAACAACTCAATCGACTTAATTCAATAATAGTAGCATTTGATACTGACATGCAGAATAATATGAAAATTTTAATCATACGTCAATATTTAATGTTCAATAATTGAAAGATTTGTGCGTCGCACGGTTAACGTAGAATCTAATAAAAATCGGTGAAACCGCTATCGAAATCCAGAAGATAAAGCATAAATATCCTCGCATCAGAACGCGCGAAGGTGTTCCCGGCGCCGCGGAAAAACGCGGCCAGCATCCGGCGCGGTGCACACCTGCATCACATCGAGAGAGAATCAATTTCGGCGCTGCGGCACCGCACGCGCGCTATCGTCGCCGTTGCCGCGTGCGACGCGACGCGGCGCGTTCAAAGCGGCGCGCTAGTTGGCGCGCATGCGCGTTGCGTCCGCCGGGCCAATCACCTCGCGCAGCGTTCGCGACCGCCGGCGGCGCAGCGGTCAGCGGTGCGAGTGCGGTCGTCCGCCTCGTCGCCTCGTCGCCGCGTAGCGACACCGCGGATTCCAGCGGATGCACGATGCATCGTGACTGACAGCGATCCATCGTGTCGCCGTCGCTGTTGCCGCCGCGAAATGTGTTCGTTCCACGCGCGCCCATGCGATTGTTTTTTTACGTGAATCCGCGTCCATCCCCGAGCATCGTCGCCTTTACGATCCGACGCAATTGTCTGCCGTCGTCGCCGCCACCGCCGTCATCGCCGCCGGGCTGCAAGGACGACGATGGGCCAATCATCGAGCAACACCGGACACAGCGGTGAGTCCCCGAATCACAACTCATAACGCCAACTTGCAGCAGAGATCGCGTGCTTCTCGCCGGCCCGAACGCTTCGTTCCGTGTATGCGTGTTGCGTGTGTGCGTACGTGCATGCGTACGCGCGTGTTTGACATGTGTCAGTCGCTACAGCGATTGATGCAGCTGCAAATGATCTTTAGACGATGATATCGCGACAGCGACAAAGTATCCGAGTCCCTCTGTCTACGTACGAAATTTCTCTCAAGGAGGTTATGTCCAGATTTATTAGAATGCAATTTTTTTGAATCTCGTTTCCTTCTACCCGCCAACACATTGACGGGCGCGAAATGAATCTTGGAAATTTTTCCTTGAGAGCTAGAACAAAGTTTTGATAACGACATAATAATGATAACGATAACTTTATAACGTTGGTCTCGACCGCTGAGATCATCTGCGAGAATCGAGAATCTAATTATTGTCATTTTTTCTAATCCCCGTGGAAATACACGCGTTGTTTTTTTCATGATCGCACGTAGCGAATTTAAATGCTTTGTTAAGACATTGTCATCAATTATTTGTTAACGATTACGAAAGTATACGAAGATATACTGTGTCTATAAAAATACTTCGAGACTAAACGAATTTTAATTGTATTAGATTATTGCAAAATGGAACATTCGCTGGAAAAAGTTAAAAAAATAGCAAAGAGATAGCAGAATTTTCTTTATCTCTCAATGGAAATAGTAATTAAAATGTAATTATAAATTAATGAAAAATAAGGAAATTTTTATAAGGAATACGACTTAGCATATTTAGTAACACAGTAATGCTGTGTGCAGCAAATCTTATTTATGATCTTGAATAAATTTTTTTAGTTTTATAATTATTTAACAACTTTTTAAATATTTATTTTATTGATGCAAATCATAGTGCATTAATATTTTTTTAAAATGTATTATTTAAAAAAAATCTACTCTAGATATTTTAGATAATTCTACTTTAGATATATATGTGTATACATATATTATCACTTCGTTTTCTGATACCGTCTGGAGGCGACATCTGCTCCAAGATGCATTTTGCTCCGTAGGTAATAAGACGAAACTCAATCTCTTTTTTTCTTTCAGCTTTTTCTTAAAAAATAATTAAATATAATAAAGTTAATGTTTCTGCCATTATTATAAATTTTATTGCAAAACATTCAGATATTTTTAATGAAAATATTCGCGCCTTTTTTTGCACATATCGTACAATTACGAATCAACATAAAATAATCCCTCATTAACATTGGGAAATTGTAAAATGTATAGTTATTTATCCATATATAATAATACTATATATAATAACTTAATTTACAACTTAATTTACAACTTAATTTATTATCTTGCGCATTTTATCAGTAATATATATAAAAAATATATATATTTTTTTGTTCGAATTATTGCATTACAAAATGTACAGGATTCAAGTAAATTAAGCCGTATTACAATATGGAAAAATATGTTTATCCAAAAATAATGCAAAGTGATTTGACTATATAATAAATAATTGTATATTATACAATATCCCAATGTTAACGAGAATTATTTTATCGATTCAGATTAATTAATAATGTACAAAAGGAGGCGCGAATATTTTATTTTAATTAAAAATAACTGTATGTTTTCGTAAATGAAATTTATAATAATGCCAAAGACATTAACTTTATTATATTTAATTAATTATTTCTGAAGAAAGAGATGGGAGAGAAAAAGAAATTAAGTTTCATCCATGATCATATATATATATATATATATATATATATATGCTATTTTATTTCCGTGCATAATGAATATATAAACAGTAATAATCTACTTCTGGATCACTTGTCAAAGCAACGTTACACGTTCAATGCTCGACACACGATTAACGGTGTTACATTGCGTTTCGGCGATTATGCGATATTTTGCCAGCTGCATCTTTTCCGGCTCGGGCGCACCTTTCGATTTCGTCTCGTAAGGCCTGACTCCGAGAGGCTTGCAAGATGCTCCCGCATCCCCGTCGTGGCGTAGCCACCTATCCCGCAGGATCATCGGTGTACCCTGGTCGCCCGGCATGGGCCGCAGATGGTATTGTCATATGGCAGACACAGAGGCCGGCCTCCGAAGACCTGCCAGTAAAATCGCGATTGCACATCCGCACAAATCCATCCGGCACGGACCCTCCCCCCCCCCCAATTATCAATCGACGTCACGCGACATTCGACCGAGCAATATTCTTTTTTTTCTTGTCATTAGTATTTCGGAACACTCTCGTTTCGATCGACGCGATTTCTCAATGAGTGGATGTTCATTAAACTTCTTTCGTGACTTGAAATTAGGGCGATAGAAATCGAAGTATCTTCGGAAATTCGAAGTAAAAAATAAAAGAGACCAAAAAGCTACATGGAAAAAACAGTTGGTTGGTTGCAGCTATTTGCTTACACTCAGAGAAAAAAATTATACCAGCAACTAGAAATTTATACACAAATAATATCTCAACTATGTATAACAAAATTGTAATAAGAACAATCAACAAGTTATACAAATCAAAAAAATGTAGTAATATTAATTATTTGTAATAAATCGTTAGATAAATAATGTTAGATATTTTATACCGTTGTTGTTAATATGTATTTTTTTCAATTTATCTCAATGATATTGCGGCATTATGCTTACTTAAAAAAAATATTTGTCTAAACTGGAAAAATGTAATGTCATATTTTATATAATTTATATAACTATATAATTACACTTGAGTTATTTCATTATCAATTAATAATTTACATATATTGTTACTGTGAATATATTTTTATTGTATTTAATACTATTTTCATATTTATTACTTTGAAAATCTGGTTGCAAACATAAATTTCATAAATATAGTTTTATAAATATAGTTGCCAGAACTTTTGTTTTCTCTCAGTGTACAATTAGATATTTCTGAGTATGTCTTATCTTTTTTTTTCCTATCCTTTTTTCCGTGTAGGAAACTTTGTTAAGATATTATATTTTGCTTTACATTATTAGAGAAAACAGTTGTTGAAAAAGTATTAGATTT